AGATAGATAGATAGATAGATAGATAGATAGATAGATAGATAGATAGATAGATAGATAGATAGATAGATAGATAGATAGATAGATAGATAGATAGATAGATTAGATTAGATTAGATTAGATTAGATTAGATTAGATTAGATTAGATTAGATCGATCGATCGATCGATCGATCGATCGATCGATCGATCGATCGATCGATCGATCGATCGATCGATAGATCGATCGATCGATCGATAGATAGATAGATAGATAGATAGATAGATAGATAGATAGATAGATAGATAGATAGATAGATAGATAGATAGATAGATAGATAGATAGATAGATAGATAGATAGATAGATAGATAGATAGATAGATAGATAGATAGTAGATAGATAGATAGATAGATAGATAGATAGATAGATAGATAGATAGATAGATAGATAGATAGATAGATAGATAGATAGATAGATAGATAGATAGATAGATAGATAGATAGATAGATAGATAGATAGATAGATAGATAGATAGATAGATAGATCGACTTACAGACAGACAGATAAAAGGTTGACTATGTAACAAATTGCTAGACCGATTATTGGAAGTTTGACGTATACACATAATGAGACAACTACACGTACAGACAGACAGTCAGAAATGCACACTGAGAATTCAAGAAACATAGAAAGTGCCCACATACAAAAACTGAAATGTAGTTTTGTTTTAAAAAATATTGTAAAACAACTATACTATATTCATACAAAGGACCGAGTAAATAGCGACTTAAATCAACTTTTGTGAGGCAATCATTAAGCCCAGAAATATATTTTTATATGTATAGTTTATTTGTATTGGGACAACCATAACAAACAAATGAGCTTGACGGCCATATAACAGTCTTTCCAGGTAACAGATGTTCTAGGAACATATGCTGCGATTACTGAAATAAATGTGATGTATTCTTTGTTTAGCTGCCTACACAAAACAGGACTTGCTTTTGCTACCGCAGTATGTTCTTGGAGGTAGGTAAGTTGTTGTATCAATAATATTACTGGATGATTTTGTTTACTGTTCATCGCGATATTATAGAGTTAATATAGAAGGCTTATGTCTTCTTGGTTTAAGAAGCATTATAGTAGATCTCTGGGCATTCCCATAAGGGCTTCGTCTCCCTCTTCAGCAGCTAGCGTGTCCTAATACTGATCCCTAAAACAACTGGACGAGGCTGTTAAAAGAGCCTCGAGCTGGTTTTGGACGCAACGGAATGTCGTTGGGAATGGGCCTCGGTAGACTGATTCTATTTTCTAGTACAAACAAAAGTCGTATCCATTAAAAGCCAATGTGTCTGAATTGTCTGCCAATTTCCCTTTATCGACTGCCAGAGTCTAAATGCCAAGTCTAACACTTGTCCTGTGAACGAACCGAAAGCTTTTCACCATAGTTGTAAGGCAGTCAATTGAACTTATTTGCTACCGCAGCGACAGTATCAATAATTCTCACAAAATATGTTACAAATCACCACATCGTCTTGTCCCTGTCCGAGAACATCCGGTAAAGGGCAGCAAGGGAAGATCGATACCTAGAAGTCATGACCTAGGTCTGCCCACTTTTCAAGATTGTATAGGAATGGTAACGGGTCAAAACAATCGTTGACTAGGGATCTTTCTACTGATGATCGGTGGGCTCCTGCTGTACATACTCCCCTGTGGAGTTCTTTTTATACTGATGTTTTCTGTAGTGGTCCGAGTATATGTACTGTCGCCCTTTACATCTGGGTGTTGGGTGTCTACAAGACTCTCTAGTCACTCCACGCCGAACAGTTAACTCCAGACGGTAAATTTTATTAGGGTTCACTTGTTCAAAAAGGGTTTGATCACATCAAGCTTGCCATTCATCAGTACATCACGGCGTGGCAAAAACCTAGTCAGTCTGCAATTTTTTTTTTTTTAATAATATAATTTTTTTTTTAAACATAGGTCCTTGAGAGACCTGTGTAAATTATATAATTTTACGGGTCTTTTCTGTTTGGGAAGCTTTTCTAACAGACTGCTAAAACTCTGGGAATGCACTAGCAATTACGTGGTCTGCTGACCTATTGGTCAATAGTTCGAGAACAAATGTGATTGAATTGCATAAAACTGAATGAGATTTCATGTCGACATAGCCTAAAACTGGCAGCAGCAAAGGACTTTTTCAAAGCTTGACAATAAGGATTGTAAAAATAATAGTAATGTTGATAAAGAAAAAATGGTAATAAAGTAACAGAAATAGTCATACTAATAATGAGAAATAAGTATAATAATGACGTTATAGTGCAGTAGGGGCTGGGATTTTTGCACATGGACTTGGGCTTCTAGTAATTCCCCCTTGTCTCTGCGTAGTGAGATCAAGCTCCTGTGTGCATTGTTGCGCACGTAGAAAATCCCTCGACAGTTGCAAATCGAAAAGAGTAGCCTAACGGCATTGCCCAGGCAAAAATTCGGAGTTTATAACCAAAGTAGTTTAGCATCCTCGCCGGTGCTACAGAGCCTGTGCAATTTGCTGAGCTTCTTCGGACTCAGGCTTGCTTTAGAAGAATGAACGGAACACTTATGGGTTACTTTCCCTGTGCCATGATGTTGATCCGTATTCAAACCTCAAACCTGACAAATACATATGATAACATACACAGAGAATAAAAATAACAATACGATAAATGACCAATTATCATAGTAACATTCGTGAAACATAAGTAATAATGTGATGAATGACACACACAAAAATATATATAAAACATACGGGGAACATAACAACAATAATGTAATGAATGACAAAGACATATAATAACATACAGGGAACATAACAACAATAATGTGAAGAATGACAAATAAATATAACAACACACATGGAACATAAAAACAACAATATGATGAATGAGAAATAAATATAATAACAGACATAAAACATTTAAAAAAAATATATGATTATTTACAAATAAATATAAAAACAGACAAGAAACATAACAAAAATAATATAGTGACTGACAAAGACATATAATATCATACATGGAACATAAAAATAAAAGTATGATCGATAAATATAATAACAGAATCGAACACAACAACAAAAATAATGAATGACACATGTGGTTGTTGTTGTTGTTGTTGTTATCGATCCAGCGGCGCATGAGCTTTCGCCCTTTGACCCAGTGCCCTGTAGTGGAATTTGCATATTTTCACAAGCTGTTCTTTTCCTCCGTACAAGGTGTTCCATTTGTTTGGTCTCAGAGGGAGTAGCCTGAATGACACATAAATATATGAACCTGCATTAAACATAAAAAAATGACAACATAATGAATGACAATAAAATGCAATAACCTACATGAAACATAATAATGTAATGAATGACAAATAAATTTAAGAAGAGACATAGACCATGACAACAATAATGAAATAAATGGCAAAAACATATAATCACATACATGGAACACTCACAAACACAATATGATGAATGACTAAAAACAAAAATAACAACATACATGGAACGTAACAATTATAATACGATGAATGACAATTAAAAATACAAACAAACATAAAAAATAACTACAAAATTGTAATGAATGACAAACAAATACTGCTGTTCAGAAGGTCGTGGTTTCGGATTCTGACGGAGGCTGAAAAATTGGCAAAAATGACCTTTGCTGCCAGATCGACCCGGCCTTGAGTTGGTACCAGGTACAGTCCTAGAAAGTAAAAGTGGCCGGCGTGATACTGACCACATCACATCTATAATAATAGACAGGGACTTAAAAAAACAATATAGTGATTGACAAATAAATATAATAACATACATGGAACATAGCAACAATAATGTAATGAATGACCAAAAGTATAATAATATACATGGAGCATATAAAAAACTATATAATGAAAGACATATAAATAAAACAATATACATTGAAAATAGACCAGAAACGTGGGAGCTTAAGCATTTTGTGTGGCCCTCCACCGCAAACTCCCCCCCCCCCCCCAAAAAAAAAAAAAACAATATTTGTTGAGAACAACCTTATTAGCCTTATTTCGCAATCAAACAGATCTTAGGCTTTGAGTACACCCCTCCCCCACCCCCGCACTTTTGCAGTAATTTTCAAAGGCCAGGAGAGTGGTCTCCAAAGTTTAAGTCATGTTTAATTGCACAATATTAATTATAATAATAAAAATAGGGAATATTATTATTTTGAAGTCAGATTAGGCTTGAGCCCTCCTCCACGGCCCTAATTAGTTACTGGGGGAAAGGGGGCCCAACCTCATCCTCACCCTTCCCCTCCCCCACACTCTCAACGGATGCAACGAAGTCAGGCGTTTCATATTTAATTGCTATCGGTGTTTATCCTGAAGAACCCGGAAGTTATTAGATACTGAATCAAAATATCTAAATACAGAGTGGTCGACCTTTCCCATGATTTGCAATTGTTTACTTCTACTAGGAGTTTATGTTTCAGTAATCCTACATCAAATATTATACATACATACACACATTCATACATACATACATACATACATACATACATACATACATACATACATACATACATACATACATACATACATACATACATACATACATACATACATACATACATACATACATACATACATACATACATACATACATACATACATACATACATACATACATACATACATACATACATACATACATACATACATACATACATACATACATGCATACACACATACATACATACATACATACATACATACATACATACATACATACATGCATACATACATACATACATACATACATACATACATACATGCATGCATACATACATACATACATACATACATACATACATACATACATACATACATACATACATACATACATACATACATACATACATACATACATACATACATACATACATACATACATACATACATACATACATACATACATACATACATACATACATACATACATACATACATACATACATACATACATACATACATACATACATACATACATGCATGCATACATACATACATACATACATGCATACATACATACATACATACATGCATACATACATACATACATACATACATACATACATACATACATACATACATACATACATACATACATACATACATACATACATGCATACATACATACATACATACATACATACATGCATACATAGATACATACATACATACATACATACATAGATACATACATACATACATACATACATACATACATACATACATACATACATACATACATACATACATACATACATACATACATACATACATACATACATACATACATACATACATACATACATACATACATACATACATACATACATACATACATACATACATACATACATACATACATACATACATACATACATACATACATACATACATACATACATACATACATACATACATACATGTGTGTGTTTGCATTTATTTGGTTTATTACGTATATATTGTATATGATTGTGTGTACGTGTATGCGTGTGATCGTGTGTGTGTGAAAATATAAGTGCGTGTGTCTTTTAAACACTTATACCATTAGAGAAAACACAATGTAACATATTTCTATATAATATAATCTTTCTTCACAGTTAATATAAGCCCCAGCAGTAACGTACTTACTAGGCTTTCATGACGAGGCAGTGATGCGTGCTCAGTTACTCACAAGTACTTTTTTAGGATTTGTGCCAATTATTTCAAATTTCCGTTGGACTCTAAACATAGGTACTAGAAATGATTTAAATTTTCTGGAAGGAGACTAATGTCCAGAAAGGGAACAAACATCCAGAACTTTCTGCAGGAGTTTGCATCTAGTGAACGCTAAGAAGAAAATGTGGATTATATTATTATAGTTATGAGTATATTGTTATATTTGTCGTTCAGTCAATCATCACCATTGTCATCATCTTCATCATCTTCGTCATCTTCATCGCTTTACGTCTTTATCTTCCTCGTTATCATCATAATTAATAATAACATGACTGTTATGAGCTAAGTCGATGCGAACGCTTCGTAATGCCAGGATGCCGGGTTAGATACCAACTGCGCCTTGCGTTGGTTTCGACAGTGGTATCAAGAAAGCCGACCGTCCAGTAAGCAATGGTAAACTACTGGACGTAAATGTGCCTAGAAAAACCACAAAACAGCCAAGGGCTGTTGATGTTGGTTCTGCAACGTCCTGTAAAGGATACGCAACTAACCCTATGAGCTTATGTGGGAACATTTAAGATCTATCTAAAGACGTGTATGGCATCTAATGGAATCAGTTATGTTAACAAATATCATGGTTTCTCCCCAGAATATGTTGCTGCTATCAAGCGTTCTCAGCCTCTTGTGCTTCTCAAGGATGGTTTCAAGCACTCATAGAACGCATGTGTTGCAGGGATCTCAAGACAGCAGGATCGGCAGCGACAAGACCCGCGACGAAACTAACCATGCTAGGCCATGTTGTCTACCGTACCGGTTTCAGGCTATAGTAGCATCGCTTCCCAACTTCAGTGACAGAAGAAAGGTTCATATTTCTGCTTTTTACTTTGCACATTATGTTGAAGTTGTCTTAAATCTGCTTCTCATGGATAATATTCTGTCATTGCCTCCAGCTGGACTCTCAGCTGACTCCAACCGTTATTTCTTTGCTGCATAACCCATTCCATACTTCCGGATTTCTTGCCTTTCCAGAAGAATGCATAATTATTTTCTCTAATGGATCCATCCTCTTGCAGACGTGTTTACTGTAGGCCAGCAATATCTTTGTCAGGTTTATTAGGTTAGGCATCACTTATGTTTTCCAGGTCATTTGAAAACCCAGGACACATGGTCCTCATGTTCCAAGAGCCAAGTCAAAGCCTCAAGTTATGTTTCTTTTTATTGCCGGGTGCATTGGTTTTTACAGCCTGCGATTCGGATTTTGTCCTAGCTCCAAGCACCCAGGGTGAGCTGGTCCGGGTGTCTAGTGGAAAAGGGTTTCTCACCCCTTTGAAAGTCATCGTGTCCGAATTGTCTGCCAGTGTTCCTCTGTCAACTGCTAATAAAAGTCCAACATGTGTCCGGTAAACCAAAGTAAGCTTGTCGCTCGGTCGTCCAGGCATGCTGACTGCTTTAATTAGGCTGCCGTGGCGACTTCTTATTTCACAGTACCTTCTGCGAAACCACCAAGTCGTCTTGTCTCTGGCCGAAAGAATAACACCATCCTGTAATTCCGTGCAGCAGGGAACCAGCCCTGAGCTTCATGAACTCAGGAGGGCCCACCTCCGAATGCGTCTAGGAATCGTGGGCCGAAACACTTGTCGACGAGGATAATTTCTACTGACGACTGGTAGATCCCTGCTGTACTTGCTCCCTGTGAGTTTATTCCTATTCTCTCGTGGATTTAGTGACTCTCGTTGTGGGTGTGAGACAAGAATAGACCACCTGCTTCTACACAAACAGGTCGTAAAGGGCTACTAATTAACGATTTATTTGATTTTGATATGTTGGGTCAAATGGCCCAAATGGTCAAAATATCAAAGCCCAGCTATAAATCACAATAAACAGCTCCAATGTCCTTTCAAGACAAAGAAAAATAAAAAGAGAAAAGAAGATGAAGCAGAAGAAAAAGACAACGAATCACAAAATGGGAACACTTCTTTATCAGATTAACCCTTTCAATAGCAACTACTTTAGCTCCGTGTAAGTCAAGGAGTTAAGCCTAATATAAATTCTTGGTTTTGATAATGTTCAACAAAGACACGATGGGGTTGAAGTAAACACAATAGTTTGAATACAAAGAGGAAATAAAACACCTGTCTAAAACATAAAACAAAACAGATCATTACATAATCTTTTCAAACAGCCTATAATAAAGTGTTTTGAGCTAAAAGAGTTAAAGAGAATCATAGTGATATCGATTATATATTTTTGTTTCAAGGCAGTTGCAAGAATGTCCAGGGATTGGAACAACAGAATCCAGATTCACTCAAGCGTCTTGTTTGATAGTGGAGGTCAAGAGCAGATTATAAGACAGACATTTATGGACTTCAAGCACGTATGTTAGCCAATGTCAGACATATATATACGTCACCATATTTCGTGTGTAGTTTTAGTGTGTTTAACTGAGTAGTGAAAAGCGTAGATACACGTCACCATATTTTTGTGTGTAGTTGGAATGTGTGTTAAGCAGAATAGTTAAAAGTCTACATAAAGCAACACCAACAAAAGGAAAAAAAAAATACTCTTTTTGATGCCTTTAGGCGTATAGGGCATGTAGGGCTAGGCCTATATTTTTTATATACCAAACGGCACAAGATGGGTGATGTGGTCAGCATTACACCGGCTGCCTTTACTTCCCGGGACTGCACCCGGTACCCCCTCAAGGCTGGGTCGACCTGGAAGTTAAGGTTTTTTGAAAAATGTACGGCTCTGCCAGGAAGCAAACCCACGTCCTTCCAATCCGAACGCGAGCGTCTAGCCGCTACGCGACGACCACATCCCGAAAATTGTAAATACTTCTAGAGCGTGTGTTTAACAGAATAGTGTCAAGAGCCAATACACGTCAGCATATTCCTAGAGTAGTGTGCAAATGTTTACCCGAATAGTGAAGTATATTCTTAGCAACCATTTCAAAATGGTGTTTCGTATTTTAGTACTATCATAATTATAATAAAATATAGATATTAGGTTAAACATAAATAATCTAGACATTGGCTCCCAGGTTTACATACTGTAAAGTGGGTACCAGGTCTATTCCTCAGAAGTCAAGATAACCGGCAAGATGTTGACTACATCAACCAACTAGTGCCGATTGGTCCATACAATATAGATGTCTAGTACTATATGACTCAAATACATCTGATTTTTTTTTTTTTTTTTTTACGTATCCAGAAACCATGAGTTGTAAACCCTTTGGCTCGGTACTATGGATATCGCAACCCTTCGGCCTTGATTCCATTATAGGTACCATTAATCTGGGAGAAATGTGGCTTTTCTGCCTACCCCCGGGAGTGAACCCGGACCACAAGGAGTTCGTCACCCGGCCGCCGCGAAAGTCAGGTTTAACCAACTTCGCTAGAGAGCCGGGCAGATACATCTGATGATATGGAATGTAATCCTAAACTTTACTTACATTCTCAACACAACATAGCCCTTGACCCATTAGGGTCGTGGAGGTGGATTGTTGGAAGCACGAGCACATAAACACAGGCCATCTGTCTCTGTCTTCTGCGTGATGAATAAGTGTATGAGAACTAAGTCCAGTCCATTTCATGATGTTTTCATTCCAGATTCTTCTTTGCCCTCCTGTTCTTCGACTACCACCCCCCTCCACTCCCTCCCCTCCCCCTCCCCCCGAGTTCACTGAAGTACATTCTTTGCAATAGAATCATGTCTCACCAGGTGCCCAAACCTAGCCTACATACACTAACATCTTTATGCATCCCTACGTACGTAATAATGTCGGCTAGTTTTACAGATAGGTAAACAAGGAAATACGCATCTATTTAAATAGTACTAATGTATATGCGTGTATATATATATATATATATATATATATATATATATATATATATATATATACATTATATATGTGTGTGTCTGCGTGTGTATTGTGTGTGTGTGTGTGTGTGTGTGTGTTTGTGTACTTGGGTAGACTGCTGTGATTTATATGTTTCGACGCAGTTTTTTTGCTTAATAAAGTTTTATCTAAATATTCGCGTCTCTGGACTGACATTACATAGAATTCCCTCCAAATAATTAACTGGCATTGACAGAAAGAGTAGAAAATATACTCCTTATATCATAGACCTGTATCTCGAAGGTCGAGGCAGATATTTTTCATCGATTTTTTTTTTCTCCTATGCTTGCTTAATTGTAATTTTTTTTTTTAGAATATGGAAAACAGCATCCTCAACTTTTAGATTTATGGTATAGTATGTGGAATGTTTTTTTTTTTTTTTTATAAAATGAAAAACATCTTGTGCAATATATCCTTGTCATTGAGAGTTAGAAAAAGAATTCTTGCTTGCTACATACATCCAGTTTTAACATATGGCTGTGAATCCTGGACAATCGGTATGCAGGCCAAACAATTCCTAGAGGCCTCAGAGATGCGGTTTTACAGAAGAATGCTTAGAATACCTTGGACAGCCCAAAAGAGCAACCAAGAGGTTTTGAAAGAGGCGGGATCCCGAAGACAACTTATCACAGACATCAGAAGGAGACAGTCATCATTTTTCGGCCATATTATGAGAAGAGGGAAAATAGAACATGTTGTGACCACTGGAAAGATATGTGGAAGGAGATATAGAGGAAGACAACGAGAGAAGATGCTTGACAGTCTTGTTACATGGCATGCAGGTGTGTCGGCACACGAACTGATACATGCTGCAGGAGATCGCAGATTATGGAGAGGCATGATCACCCACGCCAGTCAGCAAGGCACCTGATGATGATGATGATGATGATGATGATGTTGATGTGGGGGTCCTTTTCTTCAAAAATGCAAATGCAGATCTAGTTAACCATTTCCTCTGACTATTGGAGGTACAGTGGTATTCCAGAATACGTCTGCTTTCTAAAAAGTCAAACTTGGTATGTGTCCTAAATACATGAATCTGAGGCTCCTGAAATTTTAATGGAAAGGGACTCTCCTTCAGAACATTATATTCTAATCCTCCTATCTTAGCATCACTCAAGTAGTCACTCGACTTTTCTTAGCAAGGTACTCTAAGTTTACACATTCGTTTGTTTTATCTAATTACTGTTGTATTTATGTGTTTTAGAGAACTACTCACCTTTGTGCCCACACGGGAGAGTTACTAACTGTCCCATTCGGCGGTCAGTCACAGGGTCTGTCCTCTTTGTAGGGGTGGTGTAATAGGGCTTCGTTTAGCGTTGGCTCGCTTAATACAATGTTTGTGGGAGGTTGTGATCTTGTGAGTATTTTTTTGGCGCCGCCTGCGTGTGCGTACAAGTGAAAAGTACTGCAGGGTAAGCGCCGCAGGCGTCTGTGTACAAGTGAAAAGTACTGCAGGGTAAGCGCCGCTGGCGTCTCTGTACAAGTGAAAAGTACTGCAGGGGAAGCGCCGCAGGCATATGTGTTCAAATGAAAAGTACTGCAGAGAAGCGATGCGCGACGGTTCGTGAGTATCGAAACTGTGATGTTTTTGTATTTCTACGTTTCTTGGCGGTAGCTTTTGATCCAGAAAAAGAAGCGGCAGGCAAAGAAAGTAGAAAATCAAAAAAATCACTGGTACGCTACCCACGAAGCGTCGCGTAAGTAGTACAACGTTGCAGTATTTTCGCAAATGAGCGGTGACACGAGAAATGCGAGAACGGCGAACAGTTTTAAAAAAAGGAATAAATGACACCCCTACAACATAAGACAGGCCCAATGACCGACCACGGCATGAATGGGAGGGGAAGTAACTCTCGCAGTTAGAACAATATCGTGATGAGAAACAATTTTAGTATTAAACGGTGTACACTAGTATTTTATTACCCCATAAATATATAATATGTCAAAAACGATAGAATATTTGTTTCCAAGGTGACGGATTAATCGCTCTCTCGGTATTTTATATTGGGAATTTCGTCTGGTAAACGACCTGTCTGGTATAAAATCTAAGGATCTGAAACATATTACGCATGTCTATTGAAGTGCCCACTGTATTCTGTTAGTTTCATAGCTTTATGTTAACTTCAATAGTCAGTTAAATTCCTGGTAAGCTGGATACATTTAAGAAGACAAAAAGAAAATGTCATGTCAAAGTCAGATGGTTAACCAGTCATCATCAATACAAGAGACGCGATAAGTGATCAGGTCCATGTCACGTATGTGCTGGTGACTCCTCCTCCTTTTTTTTATTTCTTCCTGTCGGGAGCAAATGTACAAATCCTAACCTGTTTGGGAGACAGGTTACACCTGGCTGGCATAGCAGTTATGGGTACCCTATGTTGAAGATTGAGCGGGGTATCTGGAATATGCTTTGTTGGTCTGCAGTCCAGGCTTAAATTTTCTCTTTTATATCACTGGATGGTATGGTAAACCCTTAGGCAGCAACCCCGAGAAAGCAAACTGATCAGTAAAACTATCTGATCGTCTTGTCTGCACTAACTATTGGGCCTTTTGGTAGTCAGTCTCACTACCCCAGTCTCACCACCCTCTGTCCTACAAATGGCAAATTCATGCAGTAAAGACATGAATACAGTGAAAAGTCGAAACATGCAATGGTATGGACATGAAATAAGATCTAACGGCCTCACAAAAACAATACTGCAGGGCTCAGTAGAGGAAAAGAGGAGAAGAGGCAGACCAAGAAAGACCTGGTTACAGAACATGACTGACAGGGCAGGCCTCGGGCTTGCAACCATAAAGTCCATAGCAATTTACCGCCAAAGGTGGAGAGAGCTGATCAGACAGTCAACAGAAACTGTTGACCCAACAACACATAGTGTTACGGGATGGTGATGATGATGATGATGATGATGATGATGATGATGATGATGAGGATGATGATGATGATGAAAGACAGTAATGTTAAAACAATAACGTATACATTTCAGATGGTGCAATACGAATATACCCCGGGTGGATCTTGTCACACGTCGACCTTGAACTACGGAATGCTGGAACCATGCATGCCTGGTAATGAGTGAGCTCAGTGTCGTCTTCTTGCAGTCAACATAACGGCAATCGAGGCTCCCATTGGCTCGCTATTAGACGACGTCGTCGTCGGTCGGGACAGTATTTGGGTCTCTCTCCTTTAATCGCATGAACACTGCAGGAGTCTGTTTCATGGTTACTTGGTGGCGTGCAGTGCTAGGCCATATTATATAGCGCAAATAACATAGCCACAATAACAACCTAAAGCCCCCCCCCCCCCTTCAAGATGCTGGTTAAACGTGACGCCCCCCACACCCACCTCACCAACTGAGGAAACTGATTCTCATTCAACGTTATGTTGGCGGTACCATGTCTCCTGGATTGTCATCGTGTATGTTACAGACATACTTTCTGAGGTATCACTTGTTTACATATCTGCCCTGTTCCAACCACAGTAAAGACAAAACTGTATGGTACACTAGATGACATGGACTGCACGATAGCTTTCATAATGGCTACCGACCTCCTGATGTAAGTTTTCTGACAGAAGGATCTAAGAAGAAGAAGAAAAAAGAAAGACTTGTTATCACTATCGACATCCTAGCACATCAGTCGTCTTCCATCCTCTGACGCAGTAGCCAACTCGGAGTCACCACGCTCATCGTACCCAGCGGAGCTGAAGGGCCCAGTGTCTTTCTTTGCCCTTTTGCAAGTGTCTACATTCTTGTCCTTGTTTAATACACAGTTCTGATTTTCAGTTCATCGTCACTGACTCCCGTATTCAATGTCTCTGGGAGGCGAAGCATCTAGTACCTCTTTGGCATCAAGTTCTTCATCTTTCCTCCTCAAAAGACTGGATCAAAAATAGGATAGACTGTCTGCTTGTGATGGGGGTAATCAGTCCTGTTTTTGAAATAAGTGTCTTTCAAGATATCGTCTAAACGTTATTTCTTTGTCTAGAATATACCGCTGTCCAAGATATTTTCCACACGTTATGTATGTATGTATCTAGAATATATCGATGTCCAAGATATTTTCCACATCGCTGTCCAATATATTTTCCAGATTGCTGTCCAAGATATTTTCCACACGTTATTTATGTGTCTAGAATATATCGATGTCCATGATATTTTCCACACGTTATTTATGTGTCTAGAATACATCGATGTCTAAGATATTTTCCACATCGCTGTCTAATATATTTTCTACATCGCTGTCTAATATATTTTCCAGATCGCTGTCCAAGATATTTTCAACACGTTATTTATGTGTCTAGAATACATCGATGTCTAAGATATTTTCCACATGGCTGTCCAATATATTTTCCACATCGCTGTCTAATATATTTTCCAGATCGCTGTCCAAGACAGTTTCAACACGTTATTTATGTGTTTTGAATATATCGATGTCCATGATATTTTCCACATCGCTGTCCAAGATATTTTCCACACGTTATTTATGTGTCTAGAATACATCGATGTCCAAGATATTTTCTACTTCGCCGTCCAATATATTTTCCAAATGTTATTTTTTTTTTCTAGAATATACTGCTGTCCAAGACATTTTTATAATTATACAATAAAACTATATTCAGGGATGTTCCACAAGTGTAACTGATTCACTGAGTGTCCATGACATCATGGTATGTTCATAGTACAACAACACCCTGCTTTTAGGGCTTCATGTTATTTCATAGCCACCATAGCCCGGCTCTCTAGCGAAGTTGGTTAAACCTGACGTTCGCGGCGGCCGGGTGACGAACTCCTTGTGGTCCGGGTTCACTCCCGGGGGTAGGCAGAAAAGCCACATTTCTCCCAGATTAACGGTACCTATAATGGAATCAAGGCCGAAGGGTTGCGATATCCATAGTACCGAGCCAAAGGGTTTACAACTCATGGTTTCTGGATACGTTAAAAAAAAAAAAAAAAAAATAGCCATCAGATAAAACCTTACGTTGGAACAGGGTTGCTGGAACTTTCCTGTGAAAGGGAATTCTCATCCGAGTAATGACCTGCTGCACTTTGCATCACAAGGTGCTAATAGCTTTATGTGCGGTCTTAATTGGGTTCAACTTCTCGTACATATAAAGTTATGTTAGATTATGTTCTTATATGAGTCAGTCTTCGTCCAGTGATTCAAAAAAGCTTATAGGAGGGATGATCTGAGTTAGACAGACAGACAGACAGATAGACAGACAGAAAGACAGACAGACAGGCAGACAGACAGGCAGACAGACAGACAGACAGACAGACAGACAGACAGACAGACAGACAGACAGACAGACAGACAGACAGACAGACAGACAGACAGACAGACAGACAGACAGACAGACAGACAGACAGACAGACAGACAGACAGACAGACAGACAAGCAGACAATCAGACAGACAAACGACAGACAGTTATGTAAAGACAGAACACAATTCCATGTCTTCCTAGAAAACGCAAGCTATTTGGGACAGTCCTACATGGGAGCCTACAATAACCAGATGGTTGTTAATACCTGGAACTTTCAACGGACAAACTTGAACAGAGATCTTGAAATAACCATAGTTGTGACTGCAGACAAGTGTGTGCCCGTTTCAGAACATATCACTGGAAAGATTGGAACAGGTGAGTATCGTAATGTCTTTCATGATTGTAATTGTGGACTTTCTGCTTTCCTTCTTATTCTTCCTCCATATTCTTCTCCTCCTCCTCCTCCTTCTTCTTCTTCTTCTTCTTCTTCTTCTTCTTCTTCTTCTTCTTCTTCTTCTTCTTTTTCTTCTTCTTCTTCTTCTTCTTCTTCTTCTTCTTCTTCTTCTTCTTCTTCTTCTTCTTCATTATCTACCTCTTCTTTTTCTTCTTCTTCTTTTCTCTCTCCGTCCTCTTCATCTGTGATCGCTCTAAAAAAAATAGCTACGTTGTGGAGAGGGGTGTTACAGCTAGGATAATATATATGTCCAAATAATCCACCTGTTGCTGCAGTTTAATAATAGAAGGGGTATGCTGTTTTCCAGATAGCCCTTCTCACTTAAAATGGGATCTGAAAAAAACAGGGAAGGTCAACTCTTAACACTCAATCCCGATGGCAATCATTGCCCAGCAATAATTAAGACGTCGCTTTCAGTTAGCATTTGGCGATTATGTGCGTAACAACAGATTGAATTCGCCAACACTCGCGCTGCAATGTGCGCATGTGTTGTTAGCAAAGAAAAACTATCCTGAATTTTAAGCACAGCTTCATAAATAATTATTAGCACAGACAGGGAAATCAATCTCAAATGCAAATAAAGAACGGGCAATCCTACAAGATTTTTCTCAGTCTTATCTAAGCAAACTAGTCAATTCTCAAGGTATGTAGAGGAGAAGGGGTTGGCTTATTGGCTGACACGTTTGTTTGCATGTCTTGTGGTCGAACATGATAGGTCCTTATCATAACAATTAGGATTATTATTTTAACTCTTTGATTCTCAGGCAAATGGAGGTCGAAGTAATGTAGTGGCTAGAAGCTCTCCTGCGGATGGAAAAGTGGTGGGCTAGGGTCCTGATGATGACGGACTTTATTTTTTTTTTTAAAATAACCTGGGATCACAAGTCGACTACTACCCCCCCCCCCCACCCCTTGAGTGGGTACTAGGTACAATCATAGAAAGTAAAAGCGGCCGGCAGGATTTTGACTACATAGTTGATCGAGTGCCGATTGGTCTATAAATTATAGGTCTAACCCAATTCGTCCAATACGCCTGTAGACGTGGGAAAAGTTCCTTCACTTGACTTGGTTACTACCAGACAGTTGTTATTTTGACTAATTATAGCCTAAATTACTATCACTGATTTGTAACCGTCGGGGACCCGAACACAAACTCACGGCTGAACGGGGTTTCTTGGACTTGACTTGGGGGATTCTCATCCGAGTAATGATGAATTGCACTTTGCGTCACAGGATGTTAATCACTCGGGATGCGGTATAGGTAGGGTTCGATTTCAGTGACTAATTTTTCACTGAAACAAGATTCTGTTTTAAGGGTTTAAGATGTTAAGAATGGGAACCAGGAGAGTTCAGGAGCAAGTGGACAAAATGGGCTGATAAAATATTCGTTTGTGGCTCCATGAGGTAATTGACGTATCTAATGTAATTGGAAAAAAAAAAAAAAAGGTTTCGCATGACAAGGTTAACCGACATGGGCTTCCAGATTATCCCATTCTAAACTGGGTATAGAAAAATGGGATGGGGGAAATAAGATGTCATAGTAACTATATTACGCACAAATCGCCGTTTAGTCAAAACAAATGCAGTCTCCTTGACTTACAACCGAATTACGTTCCGAACAGCAGGACGTAAGTCGGAATGGTTGTATGTCGAATTCCTATATTATTTTTTTCAACAGTTCTTTTTCTTCTTCTTCTTTCGTTCGCCTGAAATAATTTGTCTATATCATAAATTTTGTCTCTTGTATAAATTTCACTGTCGTTGTTAGTTCATTCAGTGGTCCATAGAGTTTACGTTCCACTGTTGTTCTTTCTGGCCAAGAGGTTTGTCTTAATGTGTCAAATTTGGTGCAGTCCTGGGGTACATGCTCTGCTGTCTGGGGCACCTTTCTGCTGGTGCACATGGCTGACACGCCTATCTTGAATTTTGTGTACATGTGGTTGTGTCCTGTTCTGAGGCGGAGGATAATGACTTGTTCTGGTCTGTCCATAATAAAATAGTCGTCTTGTGCTGAGGCTGGTGGTTTCCTAATCGATTTAATGATTCTTTTCTTTTGGTGGTATGTGACTAGTACATCCGGCTGCACTTTTGTCGCTCCTTCCCCTGCCAGTTGATCAGCTTTTTCATTTCCAGACACTCCACAATGAGACTGTATCCAGTGCATTACAACTCTTCGCTGAAGGCTGAATTGTGTCTGCAGTGTTTGCATTTCTGGTAGTTTCCTAGACTGGGGTGCTTCAAGTAAGGATTTTGCATCTGTCAGCATTACCACATACTGTGAGCCAAGACTGGTATTTTGCAGTTTCTCTGTTGCTTTTTTGATAGCCTGAGTTTCTGCATCATAGTTATGGCAGTACTTCCCGGTTGGTAAGCTGGACTTATCCCTAGTTCCATCTGGGGATTCTATGTACACTCCAGCACCACCATTTCTAACTCCACTTTGTGCGGACCCATCTGTATAGACTCTGGCCCATTGTTCTTGTGGGTATTCTTTATCAGTATAACTGAGGGTGGCAATTCTGCGTTGTACACTATCTTGCTCTTTCTTGTCAAATAGACTTTTCATATTTGTCTGGATTTGTACTCTTTGCATTTTTCTCTCCATGGGGTTTGTTCTGGAATACATTTAAGCGGACAACCAATTTCTGGAAGGTCAGCCGTTTGTCTACATATTTTTTTTTTTTTGATTGGTGTATAAAGCTGCTTCTTTTAAACCATCCCAATGCTAGGTTCTGAAATATATTTTCATCGGGTGATCTGGCATACTGAGGAACTTTTCAGCTTGTATTTGCAACTTTGTATCTCTGCGTTCTCTCAGTGCCTGTGTTTTCCCAGCTTTCTCCATTTATAATATGGGGGTTGATCTCATCCCTCCTGTGATGACTCTGAGTGCTTGATTTTGCACTTTGTCCAACTCCTTTAACGTGGTACTAGATGCTGAACACCATGCAGTTGACCCATATTCCAAGTGTGATTGTATGCTCTGCTTGTATACTTTATTGAGCATTTTCCCATCGTCTTCCCATGTGGTTCCACTTAGTTTTCTTAGTATGACTGTCTTCCTCCTCGGTTTGGTTGCTGCCCTGTTGATATGTTTTCTCAATGTCAACCTGTCATCAAATGTGACTCCGAGGTACGTGGGCTTATCATCTATTAGGGGTATTCCGTTTACTTTGATGATGCCTGCTTTTTGCTTTGGGGAGAGAGTGAAGAGTGTCCTGCTACATGTGTCTGTCTTGATGCTGACACACCATCTATTCGCCCATGCCATTTGTAGCCCACTGTAGTGTTCTTGTGGCTATCGTTGCATGTTCATTTGTGCACCACAGTACCAGGTCGTAGGCATACATTGCCATTTTGATTTCGTTTGGGATCTCAGCAACCAGGTCGTTGACGAATAAGAGGAAAAGTGTGAGGGACAGGAAACAAACAGTTTTATTCTCACGAGTTTCAAAAATTGCACATAAAATACGCCAATCCAATCTATGCAGTCATAATTATTATACACAATGTGAACAATGCGGTGTTTAAGAAGAATACTTGACATTAAGAACAAATTTTTGAAAGTGCAGGTATCATTACAGTCTTCACAGTGATCACTCAATGGAGGTTGAAGGTTTAGGTGGCTGGATCGCACATGGAGAATGGAGGATGGCAGAGTCCCTAAGGACTTCTTCTATGGTGAATTAAAAAACCGGTAGAAGATGGCGAGACCGGCCTCTACTACGATATAAAGATGTGTTCAAGCGGGGCATGAATGATACAGGTAATGAGGTTGACTCGTGGGAACAAAATGACATGGACCGTGTTGTGTGCAAAGGGCACATCAAGAAAGGAATAAAAATAAAGGAAGATATGGTTGCAGAAAGGATGAGAGCTGAGCTTCTGGGTAGAAATAGATTCAACACAAATTGTGACAACAATGGTCCTGAAATCCTATGCCATAACTGTGAAAGACTTTACATAGCGCGGGCGGGTCTTGATAGTTAAACTCGTCATCGTCATGGGCTGTGAGTCCCACTCCTCCTTATAGCTCAACATAATACTATCGTTTGGAAAGACAGAAAGGCGCCAATCCAGTGTGAACAACGCATAATATCTTTTTTGTCCATCATTTCTGGCAAATGTTCGACATTGCTAATATAGTCATCTTTCCTTATTTACTTATGTAATTTATTTATTGGTCGTAAGTGCGAATTGTTGAAAGTCGCAAAGATCGCGAGTCTTTCGCCACAATGCCACTGGTAGTGTTGCATGGAGAGGTACAGGTAAAAGGTGAGAGGATATCCGTAGCTGTGGCAACGATCCCCAGTGGTCTCCGTAAAAGCTGCGCTCGTGAACTAAACGGCGCCGCCTTCAGAACGCGTGGGTCCTTCGTCTAGTTTTACGGAGTCTATGATATTTACCGCGCTCAAGGCAGGCTACCAGACGTTCTGTAAAAACATGAAAAACCATGTGGAATAAAACCTTAGGAAAGTAGGTCGAGCCTACAGTCTTTAAAAAGACTGACCTTTTAAGATACACATCATATAAGACAGTGGTTCTCAACCTTTCTAATGCAATGACCCTTTTATAAGTTCCTGGTGTCTGACTGACTGACTTTCTACCCCACCAGGACATCACACAAGCGATAAACACCCGATGACACAAAGTGCCACCATGCGGATGAGGATCGCCGTGGAGAGGTCCCAGAAACCGCGTTCAGACATTTGGCCATATGTATGGCCTGCCTATATTGCAGCCCCTGGCAAAAGCCAGAGTAGGGCTTCAAATGACAAAAAATTTCGTCCTTAAAAGGACGAAACTGGATATTAAGTTCCTCGTGTTGTGGCGACACCCACTCATACATTTGTTTTCGTTACTACTTCATAACTTCAATGAATATGTGTTTTCCGATGGTCTTGGGCGACCCCTGTGAAAGGGTCGTTCGACCCAGAAAAGGATCGCCACCCACAGGTTGAGAAGTGATGCTATAATAGGATTTAATTTGAATGATTTCGAGCAGTAGTAAATAAAATATTCCCTGCACGTGTGTTTAAAATGAGTCATTTACGAAGGGAAATAACGCGTGAATTTATTCTTTGACAAAAGTACGTGGTTATATTCCTTATTGTCAAATCAAAGTAATAGAAGAAAACAGGCATGCAATATTACTTTGAGTTTTAGGAAGAATAATGGTCAACTACACCTTATACTTGTCCTCGTTGAGGAAACCAAGTATCAATTTACCAAAATTATTACCTGCGTATGAATAGAATAAGACACTCACTTAACTTGTTAACCATTATCCCCTTGTGGGATGCAATTTTTTGTTATTTTGAAGCCCCACCCTAGCTTTTTGCCGGGGGACCCTAACTGTGCCGGGCCTAAAATATGGCCTAACCGCTGGAGAGGGTTTCCGGGACCTCTCCGCCGGTGATCCTCATCCGCATGGTGGCACTTTGTGTCACCAGGTGTTTATCGCTTGTGTAATGTCCTAGTGGGGTACAACCTGCCTACATACCTTGATTGCTTAAGTGTCTGTTGAAAAAGAAAAAGGGAAGAAACGCTCATGTGTTTGGGAAAGTCAAATCTTGGTAGCAAATCTTAAATGAGGTAGTCACATGTTCCGAAACTTTAACGCCATACTGGATATCATCTTCTTTACATATTTAGTGTGAGATAACTCTTGCAATCTTAGCAGACACTTGTTTACTTCTGGTTATGTACCTTGCGCTTGTATTACACAGACATAAGAAAGAAACAGATGGCAGTATACTGAGAACATTACGATTTAAAGCAGACAGAAAATTACCTGAAATGTGCAACAAGTATACGTCCAAGATAAACCCAGAGATCAACGTTGCTAATGGAGGCAAAAGAAGGATTGGACTAGATTCCAACCATATTATTATATTATAAGAAAAAGAAGAAGAAGAAGAAGAAGAAGAAGAAGAAGAAGAAGAAGAAGAAGAAGAAGAAGAAGAAGAAGAAGAAGAAAAAAGAAGAAGAAGAAGAAGAAGAAGAAGAAGAAGAAGAAGAAGAAGAAGAAGAAGAAGAAGAAGAAGAAGAAGAAGAAGAAGAAGAAGAAGAAGAAGAAGAAGAAGAAGAAGAAGAAGACGAAAAAGAAGAAGAAGAAGAAGACGAAAAAGAAGAAGAAGCAGCAGAATAAAAAGAAGAAGAAGAAGAAGAAGAAGAAGAAGAAGAAGAAGAAGAAGAAGAAGAAGAAGAAGAAGAAGAAGAAGAAGAAGAAGAAGAAGAAGAAGAAGAAGAAGAAGAAAATGAAGAAGAAGAAAAATAAGATGAAGAAGAAGAAGAAGAAGAAGAAGAAGAAGAAGAAGAAGAAGAAGAAGAAGAAGAAGAAGAAGAAGAACAAGAACAAGAACAAGAAGAAGCAGAATAAAAAGTAGAAGAAGAAGAAGAAGAACAAGAAGAACAAGAAGAAGAAGAAGAAGAAGAAGAAGAAGAAGAAGAAGAAGAAGAAGAAGAAGAAGAAGAGGAAGAAGAAGAAGAAGTCAGTGCACAACGGAATATGGAGTAGTAGCTCTAGCGTTGACACTGTGGAACTGCAGCACACTTTGCTTTTACTCGATGTTGTCGGTGTCATTCAATATAATGCTTCATTTTAGTGTATCTTTCTTAATACATGTGCATTATTCTGTTGTCTTAAAATCTGATGTCAGTTTTCACACTCATAATTCGTCGAAAAACTGCAAAATCCTTCAATAGAACTTTTGTTTCACAGTTCGACTGATACGGTGTTTGTCTAGTGGGGGCATTAAATCATGTCTGCAATAAGAAGCTGCACATAAGGTATAAGAGGCGACTGTCGGAAACTCAGTTTTGACGCTGTTTTAATGGTCTTTTTGCGCAAAGTAGAATTCGAAAAATGGATTTCGTTCTAAACTGAATAGATCAAGTAAAAACAGCAACATTTTAGACTCTTAGTAAATAAACATTTTTTTTTAAATTCAGTTATGTTTAAACTTTCTTTTTATATTTGTTCCGTTTATTCAATGTCAAAAAGTGATTATTAATTTACTGCCGCAGTTTATTGGCTTTTTGTTTACTAGAGTAATGTCACATCCCTTGTTTTTTGTCTCACAGGTAAAGCTGAATCCATGATCTTTTTCACCAATGTTACAGAACAAGTGGACAACTCGGTCTTTGAGATCCCCCACACATGTTTCGGTGTCCAGCCAATGTGA